GGGGAGGGGAAGGGAAAGGAGTTTGTAAACCGCTCTGAGACTCCGAGTGAAGGGCAGGGTATACATCCAGTATCATCATATCATCATCATCTTCCTCTTCGTTTACATTACACTTTCCCCTTTCATTCAGATTCATCCAGATTCATCAATAAATGGTTAACAACCTCCTTATATGAAAGGATTCATCTGTGTTATTGCTGTGTTATTAAAGGAGTTCTCACGACATCAGGGTCATTCAGACCCCAAAACCCTTTTGACTCAAAGCCCGGCACATGCTTGTGCCATAGGACATAGGAGGAGTTGGCAAATTCACACACTAAAGTCATTATTGCACGCTGGGGGACTTGGAAAGGAAGTTCTGTGCATGGGCCTGCTGGAAAGCACTGCCCCAGTGGTACCACGCCCCCTGTTCTACCAGCAAGGTGTCATTTGACATAGCAAGCAGCAAAGAGATTTGCACCTTCCGTACTCAGGACGGTTGTTGCCTTGTGCAAAGGCACATACACACACACACACACAAGAAAGCAAGTATCCAGAATGTGGGAAGAGTCCCGCAAACTCAGAAGGGCTTACACTTTGGCTAGATGCTCTGCCTTACCTTCTGCAGTTCTTGAGGGCAAATTTAAAAAATTACCCCGAACAGAGAGGTTATGTATGTGCGCGTTGGGGGAGATCGAATCTCAGGAGCATGTATTCTTAAGGTGCCCGTTATTTGAAGAGGCGCACACAAAACTCATTGAGCCTTTTTTGGCAGGCACTTCTGATCAGGATAAGATGGAGAACTTGTTTTTTAACCTTGAACATACAGCGCTCCATCAGATTGCGAAATTTTGCTCCTTGGTTGTAAAAGCTCATCAGTGCCCTGGTTGTCACTCAGGTTAGGACTATTTGATTTTAACTTTTACTGTTCCCAAATCATCTTAGTTTATTTCCTTTTACCGTGTTTTATTGCAGTGTAATTTTAAGTCTGATTTTAGTGACCAAAATGATTGTACAATGTTATTTTTTAGTACCTAGTTGCATTTTGGAAATTTTACTATTAGGCTATTGTAATTTATTTTTATTTCTATGGTTTTATATTGCTGGCTAAGCGCCGTAACAATAAAATTCATTCATTCATTCAGAATGTGGGAAGTGCGGTCTGCCCATCAGGTAGTCGCCCCAGGTCAAATTTTACTCGCCCCAGGTGAAAAGCAATTTTTTAAAAACCACAAACATACAAGTCACACACACACAAGTTGGTGGAAGTTCAGCGTCTCCCTAGAATTGCCTGCGGATCTCATCAGCGGAGAACAGGTGCAGAATCCACACATGGATGCCTTCAAATCAGCACACTGACACACCCTTGTGCTGGGAAAGAAGCCGCAACTGCAGACGATGCTCCTCAATACACCGCACGGGTCTGCTGTGTCCCCCCCCACACCTGTTCCCCCCATTTTACACTATCAGCCACGTACATTAATTACAAAAAATTTCCCCTTTAATCTACCTGGAAAAACTCCGGAGGGGTGCTAGGAATGCCCATTCACTAGTGCAAGGAGGGATGCAGTCGTGGTTTGTCAGATGAGGAAAGAAAAAAGAGGAAGGGGGGGGGGAATCGGCATCAGGGAACAGGCGTCAAGAAAGAGAGAAGCGCAGGTAGCCGGTGGAAAAACGAAGGCACGAAGGGCAAAAAAGGGTTTCCAGGGAAGGAAGGTAGCCCGGTGAGCTCTGGGGGAGGGGGGGAGATGACATCACTCATTTGTGGCTTAGAGTGCAGGCGCACGTGGCCACCCCTCTCCCTCCATCTTGCAAGATTTAAAGGGCCAGCTGGAGGGCCCTTTAAATCTTGCAGCACGGGTGTCCACGGGTCGTCGCTCTCAGGGGCAGGGCTCGGGGCAGGGCTCCCCCTCGCTGGTCAGCAGCCAGAAGGAACCCCCAAAATCAGGGGGAACCCCCGCTTGGACCAGGGGTCTGCCAACCTTACCCTCAAACAGCATTGAACAGGGTTGTGTCGCTTGAGCCTCGGTTAAGATTCCAGGTGTACGGTCAAACTGCAGTGCAGGCAGGTGGACTTCAGGCGCCGATTTGCCACCCTCCACCCCTGCCCGAGGAGGCACCCGCAAGACCTGCTCGTTTTCCCTTGGCATGCAGAGAGGTTGGGTAACTTTCTCCAATTCAGATTCCAATAACCTTTATTGGCATAGTGGGTAACTTTCTCAACCAGGAGTTCCCAACGTGGTGCCTCTGGGCGCCCTGGCAGCCGCTGACACCTTTTTTGGTGCCCGCCCAGTGTTTTTATGAAGTGGGTGGGGCCAGGCGGAGTTCTTACTCAGCAGAGCTTCTGATTTGCCACTGCAGTTCTGACTGGTTATTGCCACCGCAATGTGTTTGTTTTATTCTTTCCTACTCCTCTTCCCCAGTGTATTTTTTAAATTACCCTTCTTATTCCCTACCCGCTGCCTTGCAGATACCACAACTGATAAGATCATTTTGTGGCTGTGGCCCACCACCCCGCGTCAGAATTCCAAAGGTGCCCAGAAGCTCGGAAAGATTGGGGACCTTTGTTCTTAACCACAGCTTGCTCGGTGCAATGTTTAACCGCTGTTACCGTGAGTCACGTTTCCACAACCCTCGCTTTGGGCTGCGCTGCCTGCCGCCTGGCTCACGGCCTCTCCGGAACCGCGGTTTTCAGTGCTCAACCGTGGTTAAGAGAAACAAGCCAAGGTTGAGATTGACAAGAACTGACAACCCAGACTCAATAAATCCATTGGGGGGTGGGTGGGTGATGAGCCAAGATCAGGCACAGAGATTAAGGGGAGGAGGAAGAGGTGTTTTCAAGAAAGGGAGAGACGCGCAAAGGCAAGGGGGGCCCATCAAAGCCATTGTCCGAACTGCTCGTCAGGCACAATGCCGGCTAGATTAGCGAGCCCAGCCTTGCAAAGGAGTTAATTGCTAGAAATAATTACTTGAAAGAGATCTGCCGGGGCTTATCTTTGCTAGTAAAACAATTTCCGCCCACCCGGTTATTTTTCCCAATCCCTCCCCGCCCCAGTTGACCAACGCTTGGGTGGGGGAGAACCTATGGGTATGACAAAAACCATTTTACACTGACACCCTACCCCACGTACACTAGAGATGTTACCCGGATTTCGCTCTTCCAACACCGAAATTCCCTTTCAGTTCCCGTTTTCCCTAGTGCTGGTTCGGCCCACTTCCCTGTCTGTTCCGTCCCTAATTTCCTTTGTTAAATTTGTGTGGTTTTTAATGCCACGTTTGGGACAACTATACGTAAACTAGGTAAAAAAAGAAAGGAAAAATTGGGAACGCTGGCAGTAAAAACCAAGCAGAACAAAAAGGGCCACAAAGACAAAGAAATGAAAGGGGTCAGATTCACAATACACACACACACACCATCTCATGCACCACAACTGCTCCCTCCTGTCTCTCCCTCCCCCCCAACTCCTTCCCAAAAGCTTTGTGAGGATTATCCTGGTTCAGGAAGCAAAGTAATGAAGTCAATAAAATGGTGGGGGACAGGAAAGGGCAGGACATGGGGGGGGGTGTCGCTCTGTCCTGCCTTGAGGTCCATTTTGACCCCGATCTCTACGGCCATGGATGTCCTCCATCTGACACAGAAAGCCAGTGGCCACTGAATTCAGATTTCATTTGCTTCGAACGAAAAATCTGTCCACTGAATTCCATGGCCATCAGCTGCATTGTACGCTCGGTGGAATGCAAGCAAATGAACAACTCCTAGTCAGAGTAGCAGAGCGCGCTTTCACACATAATAAGTAACGCACTTTCAATGCACTCTGCAGCTGGATTTTACTATGTGAAATGGCAAAACCCACTTGCAAATGGTCGTTGAAGTGGATTGAAACGGAAATGCTCTAAATCTACTTTCAAGAAGTAAGGTGTGTTGCTGTATGTGGATAATAGCGGTTGTATATCAATACGTTTGTGTCTGTCTGTGTGTTTATGTGGTGTGTGTTTATCACTCTTAAAACTCAATAAATATATTATAAAAAAGAAAAAAAGAAACGGCGTTATTCAGCCTGTGTGAAAGCACCCTGATAGATGCACAAGGCTAATTATATGCATGTGGCAATTCTGCCCGAAAAAACTAAATATGATGGGTTAGATCCCACAGTTCTATTCTGCTAGTGGTGGGGCTTCCCTTTGCTGCCGACCGCCTTCCGCTCACTCCAGAGGGTGATGGTGGTGCTCTCCTCCAGCATGTTCTTGCCAGAGGTCACTGAAGTGAGCATGGAAGAAAAAACAGTGGTGGTGGTGGTGGAATTATAGGAACCTTTCTATCTTGGAAAGGCCTCCAGTTTGGGAGGAGGGGCAGGAAGCCGCAGAGTGGACTTCTGGGGGAAGCAAACATACGAACTCCATTGGTCCACCCGGCTCAGTAAAATCTGCTCTGATTGGCAGGAGCTCTCCCGAGTCCCAAGAAGAGGAAAATCTTACCCAAAATCTGGCACTGGAAATCCTTTAAAAAAAAACACTAGGGGTGTGCGGGGGGGGGGGGGGGATCAGGTTTTTTTTTCAGATTCGGGTATAATAAAGCTGCATTTTTTCGGGATTCCCGAATATACCTGAATACCAATACCGGTATTCTATTGGTACCCAAAAAGTTTTGGGTGTCATTGCATTGTCAGCAACGTGAGATGCTCTGGTCTTTGGGCAAAATATGGGGGGAAAGGCATCTAGAAGGGAGTTTTTGCTCAAACACCAGAGAGTCCTGTGTTGCCAATGTCACTGGGTGACGCCGTTGTGATGCCAGCTGAGGCTTTCCCCTGCCATGGGCAAGTCCCCCCTCTGCCAAAGCAACCTGGCATCTCTACGAAAGGAAAACATGTGACTGACGCTTCAAGAGTCCCCAGGGTCAAAGCAGGAGACCAGAGTTTTGAAGGAAAAGGTACTGGGCAAGGCCGAAAGGGGGTCGCGACCCTCTTACTCCCACGCACCGAATTTCATACGAGCGATGGGTCCCCCGCAAGGGCGGCACTTACCTACGATGCCAGACCCCAGGAATGGTGATGAAGATATGCTGTTGTGAGTTGGGAGGTCCCTGTGTTCCCCATAATGCGAGCCTTCGCCATAGCCCTGCTGAGGAGAAGAAAGCACAAGGCTCTGTGAGCAACTTGAAAACAAAGCGGGTGAAGTCAGCGCTCACTCCCTGCAAGGCAACAGAGACCTGGCTAGGGTGAGCCATGTTCTGATCGCATCCAGGGCTGCTGAGAGCCCCCACGGCCTTCCCCAGATGAAGAAACCCTCCAAGGCCCCACTCGCATTCAGAAGAACCCCCCAAAGATGCAGGATTCGAACAGGGATGCTGTTACAATCGCCGGGTAAAATCCTGCCATGCTCCTGAGGTGACTCGGAATTTTGTATTCCCAGTTCCTCTGTCTTGGCGGTTCTGGTCCGACCCAGACTGGGGCAAAATCTGGCTATGGTTAGCTGTCGAGGAAAACTCCAAACACAAGCGCTTACCTTGAAAGCGCAAGCCCGGGACTGGCAGCCTTTCCCGACACAACCCAAGCATTTACTGGTTTTGAGAGCCCCTTTTCACTACAGTTGTGTGGGTGGATGTGAAGGGACAGTGCCTTTTAGGTGGTGGCACCTCCACTACGAAATTCCCCCAGAAAAGGGAGTTGGGAGTTGGCATGCTGGGAAGTGGGGAGAAGGAACACAGGATGCCACAGAGGAGTACTAATTCTCCAAAACCCAGGCCTGGATGTTCAGAATATGTACAATTTGGGGGGGATGGAACTAAATTTATAAATTCTAAGAAATGCATAATAAAGCAGTATCGGGTCTGTGGCTTTTTTTATGCAGTTCAGACAATGAATTAATACATGTTTTCTACATATTGGCTGACTCTGAGATTCTTTGGATGATAAATTCTGCTACAGTCTTTATGTGGATAAAGGAGGGAGCTGTTGTTGCCCTGGTAGAATCCAGGAAACGTTTTAATTCAGTGGGTTCCTGAGAATCCCGCAGGATTGGACCAAGGGTCCATCTAGTCCCTTGTCCCACTTCCAAGAGTGGCCCCATCTAAATGCCTACAAGCTGGAGACTTTGGGGGTGGATCTGGGAGAGGGCGGGGTCTGGAAAGGGGAGGGGCCTCAGCATGGTACAATGCCACGGAGTCCACCCTCCGAAGCAGCCATTTTCTCCAGGGGAACTGATCTCTGTCATCTGGAGATCAGTTGCAATTCTGGGAGACCGCCAGGCCCCACTTGAAAGTGGGCAACCTATGCAGAGGCCAGAGCCTCCTCCTGTTGTCGCCTCCCAGCCGCTGGCTGCCAGGGATAGACTGCCTCTGAACTTGGAGGTTCCATCAAGCCACCCCAGCTGAGAACCACTGCTGCAGCTCTCGACTCCTTCTCCGTGAGTCTGTCCAATCCTGTTTTCGAGTCATCTCATCCGGCAACGATTGCCAGATCCCTGGGGCAATGAATTCCACAAATCAATTATATGTTGTGTAACAACCGTCTTCCTTTTGTCTGTCCAGAACTGCCTGCCGATCAACCTCATCGGGTGCCCCTGAGCTCCGGTATTCGGAGAGAGGGAGACGGGAACGTAGAAACGGTTCAGACAAAAGTATACGCCGCGGATGCTAAAATGGAAGTGATATAAATATGAGATCGACCAATCTCCAGAAGGCACAGGTCAGTCAGCAGTTCTGAGCCAAACAGCTAACTGCAGAATCTCCATGTACAGCAGCATTGTACCCTTAGGCCACTGATGCTAGAAGGAATACAACAGGCAACAGCTACCCCCTTTCTTCGTCTCCTTGGGCTCCTCTCTGTTGGAAACAGGATGCTGGGGAAGGATTTAGGAAATTACATAATTAACCCAGCCCGGTGGGGGGGAATGGAATAAATTTTTAGGGCTCTCCCCCCCAAAAAAACACAAGAAAAAAAAACACCAAGACACAATGAGATAGGGGTCACATTTTGGTCTGTTGCTGGCTTCGCATCTGGGCCTTACCCGGACTTGGTCAAACGTGGAGCTGTTTTGATCTCCCGTCCCCCAGGAACCTGAAGCCGGCCTCTCGTCCAAACCTGCCGAAAAGGAAACAAGACCAGGAAAAAAACAAACCTGGTTACTTTTATCAGCAGAAACCTTCAAAGGCAAAGCCCTTGAAGTCAACTCTTCCTTCTGTAAACAAAAATATTTAGACGAATTGGGAGGTTGGGGGGGGGGAGGTAGCGATTACAAATTCCAAGCCAACCCCTTTCCTGTATGACGCCATTCAAACGTCCTATGACCACACTGGATTGATTACCTGCCCGAAGACCTCTGAAAGCCTGATTTCTTGGAACACATTGCTAGAGGCGAGGAGCATTATGCTCCAGCTCCCCTCTGCAAGGAGAAAGCTAGCAGCACAGGGAGAAGGCATCGAGGTTTGCCCTTTTCCTGCGCAGGGCATTTTTCCTACATGCAGTTTTCCCCTCTCCACTGGCCAGTGAGGAGGGAAGCGCTCTGAAGAGCAAATTGGGAAAAGGTTTTTCTTTATGATTGCGCTGCATGCGGAAAGCGAGCACTGGGTCTACTCACCAAGCAACCCAAGGCAGTAAACCCTGAGTCAGCAGAATGCATGCTATATACACACACACTATGAAATCAATGCTCCCTCTAAGCTGTGGAGTCCTGTGAGCAAAAATTCTACTTTGTGAGCTCGTGGCATTAAAGTTGTGAGTGAGTGATTTGGCTACTGCCTAAATTATTTATTCATTTATAGTTACACTTATATCCCGCCCTCCCCTGCGAACGGGCTCAGGGCGGCTTACAAATAGGGGCAACATGTGCCACATAAAACATTAAAAACAGCATAAAATCAACCATAGTTAACAATGATAAAGTGCTCGGTGATGTTACCAATTTGATCAGATCAATCGACTCAGATGGTGACCTATAGATGTACTCAAAGCCCGCTTCAACGGCCCTGACCCCATCGCAATACTGTAGCGAGATCTTATACTGGGCCATTCCATCACCCCGTTGATACCACCAGATTATTGGTGGTGGTGGTGGTAGTAAAAAGTAAAGGTAAAGGTTCCCTTGCTCGGAAGCCAGTCAAATCCGACTCTAGGGTTGCGGTGCTCGTCTCCGTTTCAAAGCCGAAGAGCCAGCGCTGTCCGAAGACGTTTCCGTGGTCATGTGGCCGGCATGACTAAACACCAAGGCGCACGGAACGCTGTTACCTTCCCACCGAAGTGGTACCTATTTATCTACTTGCAATGTAGTGCTCTCTGGAGTATATATGGGGTATATATAAATTAGTCTCTAGGGTATATATAAATTAGTTTGCTCTGGAACCATCCTTCCGGAGCTAAGACAAAAATGTGTGAGCCAGAGGCTAAAAAACTGTGAGCTAGCTCACACTAACTCAGCTTAGAGGGAACACTGACTATGATGCAGGCTGGGGGGCACCTTTCTGAACACTTCTCCCATATTAATATATATAAATTTGACATACCAGGTATCCATCCATCCATCTGCATTTCACACCTAATCCAAACACGCCTGCTATCGTCATTCACCTGCTATTGTAATTTGGCATCTGAAATCACTCTACTGAATGCCGTAATAAAATTTCATTCACTCTACTCCTGCAGAGTGCAGGGGGTTGGACTAGATGACCTGCAAGGTCCCTTCCAACTCTAACAGTCTATGATTCTATGATACTCTCCAGCAGGGGTCATTTCCTGCAGGAGCGCACAGGAGCGGAGCTCCGGCGGTAAAGAGCCCAGGGGGCGGGCACATGCAACAAGCCCCACCCCCCTGCTCCCAGCAGCCCTCAGTCAAAGCAAGAAGCAGCCAGGTAAGTTGCAGAGCCCCTCCCCCCCGGCCCAAAACAGTCCAGTGACACCTTTAAGACCAAGTTTTATTCAGGTACAAGCTCTCCCTCCTCTGTGAGGACAGATCTGCACGTCACCCCCCAATAGCTAGCAATCCAAAACGTTCCAGTGGAGCCTGAGCGGTGGGTGTTGCCTTCTGACACACTTCCGGTGATGTCAGAGGGTGTGACATATGCAAATAAGTTATGCTAATGAGCCCCTGCTCCTCTTTTTCTACGAAATGACCCCTGCTCTCCAGTTATAAGGACAGACAGATTCACATTCCAGCTGTATCTGAAGACGTGAGCAGTGACTCACGGAAGCACATCCCCGTCACAATTTTTTCTTTGGCTTTCAGGTGCTCCTGGACTCTTGCTCTTTTCGACTGCTACAGACAGACTAACACAGCGACCCGTCTTGATCGATCTACCTACCCACCCACCTACCTATCACTCTGCACGTTAAGATTTTATAGTGAAAGCTGCCACGAGGATGTTTCCCATAGTAGGATAAAAGCATTTCAACAAATAAACACATATTTATAATATCATGAATGAAGTAATATCTGTGACACAACTGCACTCTGCCGAACTAGTTTTCTACTTGCAGGGTGTTTTAGAAATATTCGAAAATGAGATTCTCTGCACACGTACCCCCCACGGTCTTGCAATCTGACGCAGTAGAGTCCACTCCAACTCCTCAGGGCCCTACCACTTCCTCCTCCGCTCTGACACGACACATCACAGTTGAAAACCCAGAGCAGGGGCAGGATATCCCCCTACTGTCATGCTAAGGGTCACTTCGCGAGCTCCCCCCCCCAAAAAAAAATACAGGGTGAGAAATTGCTGAAGTCTCTAACGCTGGACTATTTGCTGGATTACTTCTATTCCATGACAGTCCTCCCCCTCCCCACTTCAGCAGGGGTCATTTCCTGCAGGAGCGCACAGGAGCGGAGCTCCGGCAGTAAAGAGCCCAGGGGGCGGGCACATGCAACAAGCCCCACCCCCTGCTCCCAGCAGCCCTCAGTCAGAGCAAGAAGCAGCCAGGTAAGCTGCAGAGCCCCCCCCGGCCCAAAACAGTCCAGTGGCACCTTTAAGACCAAGTTTTATTCAGGTACAAGCTCTCCCTCCTCTGTGAGGACAGATCTGCACGTTCCCCCCCCCCAATAGCTAGCAATCCAAAACAGTCCAGTGGAGCCTGAGCGGTGGGTGTTGCCTTCTGACACACTTCCGGTGATGTCGGGGTGTGTGGCATATGCAAATGAGTTACGCTAATGAGTTACACTAATGAGCCCCTGCACCTCTTTTTCTATGAAATGACCCCTGCACTTCAGAAGCCAAGAGTCTTATTTGCTAGAACATCTTTACCAAAAGAACAGAGACCGACTCCCCCAAATGGGTTACCAACAGTTCAAAATACAACTTGGCGGCTGCAGCATATGAAGCAGTATGGCGCGTTCAACTTGTCCCCCATGACCAAGGACCACCCTCCACTCGAGATTTCGCTTCTAGGGGAAGGGCTGAACCCAGAAGAAAGGATAAAGTTAGCAAACTGTACCAGCGACATTTTACCAAGGTGCCCTCAAATGAGGGAGAAGCGATTTACCGGGAGGCGGCAGAAACAAGGGCTGTGCCTTCTCCTGTATGTGAAGACCCAGACTTCATGGCCGTTGTGGAACCTCTGAACACTGAAGAGGGTTCTGGGGAATCTATTTCATGGTGAACCAAAGACACCCAGTAGTAGTTCATGTTGTTGTCTTGCAAGTATGCGTTGGGGGGTGGTGAACAATTTGTAGGTCACTTTTCCACCATTACCAATTCCCTCTTGGTGTGAACTCACACACACACACCCCATAACCTTCTGAAGATTCCCCCTTGATTTCCTAAGAATGCAATTTGGTGTTTGTAACCAAAACTCAAGTGTTCCACAACAGCAATCCCGGGACACACAGCAAAGACCAAAGACTGCACCAGAACACAGCGGGGAGGAGGGGACTTTTTTGACAGAGTCCAAGAAAGGTTACTTCAAGTGAAACCAGACCTATAATGGGTCACCACCTATGTTCCCTCTAAGCTGTGGAGTCTTGTGAGCAAAAATTCTATTTTGTGAGCCCCTGGCATTAAAGCGATTTGGCTGCTGCATCAATTCGTTAGCTCTGGAGCCCTCCTTCCTGAGCCGAGACAAAAATGTGTGAGCCGGAGGCTAGAAAACTGTGAGCTAGCTCGCACTAACTCAGCTTAGAGGGAACACTGGTCACCACCCCAGATTCAAATAATCTCTAGTGCTGAAGGCAGAATATCTCTGGGCATGAGCAGAGTGCCTTCCTTCCTCAAGGGAAGGAACTCTTTTAATAAAAGGGAGGGGCTAAAGGCAGAGTGACTCCCCCCATGTCCAGAGTGGCCCTTTTGTTCCAAAGGGAACATGTCCCTGACTAAGGGGCGTGATTAGCGTACGGTGAACAGGGCAGCTGGTTCAGATGCAGCCAGGAAAGGGTCCGGTCCCTGGAGGAGTCCCCATGCTACAGCAACACAGAGGTGAACTGAAAGGGGTGCAGAGTGCCACAGCACAGCTAATAATGCCAGATTTGAACAGGGGTGATCCTGAAGAGGAACGCTATTCCCAAAGAGAAGCGTAGGGGTAGGGGAGCCGCAACACAGCCGGCTCACCTGGATGTAAACATGGACGAACCCAATGTAACGTCGGCCTGATTTTACAACAGGAACAAGCCAGCCCCCCCCGGGGGGGGTGTTGCTGCTTGCGAACTATGTCCTGGGTTCAACATTATCTCGCGGTGCTATCGTCCGAAAGGAGAGAGGGAAAGTGGAGGCAGGCCCTCATGTTCCCCCAGCGCCCAGAGGCTGGACTGCAGCTATGTGTTCCAACTGACCTTACCAACCGGCAAACACAAAATGGGAGGCAGCGGCGCATCGCTCGCCTCTCGTGCCCCATGCCCGCACGCGTTCTTTCCGAGAGAGCTGATTATTATGGGAAGCGCACCGTCCTCGGCTCTCTCTCCTCCGCTCCCCCTTACCGTTCATTTAACCAGAAACTTCTTTCAAATTCCAGCCTTCTATTTCGGGGGCCTTTTGTGTTAATCATTTCCCCGGAGAATCGGTGTTTAATTGCTGTCTAATTTGCATAATTATGCATATTAATCTCCACACCTAATGAATATTCATAACTCTCATTTAGATTTTGTTTTCTAATCAAAAATTTCCAAT